GTTCCTTAGTGTTTTTAAAAGACAATTGAAACAGTTAATATAAACTTTTATTTTATTATTAATTTAATGTTTCATCTATTAAACTATACAAAATGCTTTAAATTTGTAGAGCCCATATAGAGACTCTATGAAAAAATTGTGGTCACTTTAGCCATTCATATCTTTTTTGAGCCCTTGTCTGTTTTTATAATGAGTTTGTTTATCTAAACGTTTTTTTGTAATTTTAATAATGTTAATTTGTATGAATTATATACATACATACATACATACATACATACATACATACATACATACATACATACATACATACATACATACATACATACATACATACATACATACATACATACATACATACATACATACATACATACATACATACATACATACATACATACATACATACATACATACATACATACATACATACATACATACATACGTTTGTATGTATGTATGTATGTATGTATGTATGTATGTATGTATGTATGTATGTATGTATGTATGTATGTATTTATATAGGGGTTTCTATAAACAGACCTTATTTATAGCAAATTACAGGCTTATAAAAGTAAAGCTGCTGAATAGAATAGGTATATTGAATTCCGCTTAACTAATGTTATAAACGCATGTAGAATTTTATTCGGAGCTGATAAAATTGTACCATGCGATCTTCTTTTGCTTATACTTGATGCATTAAATGTCTATAAATTCAACTTATTTATCATTTAAATTTTTTAAACAAACTATTTATTTTACTTATTTACAAATTGGTTTACATAAGGTATACATATAAAGTACTCTTTTTTTTTTTTTTTTTAGCTCTCTACTTGAATATTGTTTTTACACAAACATTGTTTTTAAAAATTTTCTCAACCAACTACAAACTTTATATATTTTACTTTTATATTCTTTAATAAATTTTTTTTAATTTTTTTATTTAGTTACCCCAAGAAGTCCTTACGGACTTATCAGAGAGCACCACAGATGAGTATTTAATTGGAAGTTCATGCCTCCTTCCTAACCGATGTCGCAAAACTTGCCCAGAGGTGGGGTTTGAACCGCGGATCCTTTGTTTCTGAGGCAAGTGCGCTACGGCTGCTCAAAATAACTAAGTTGTATAGTATACATATACATTATGGCTTTTGTGTTTACGTGTTTTCTAATTTATTTGTTTATTATTACTTTTTTTTTTCTATCAATTTTTCTTTGTTACTTGGCTATTACTCTTAACATAAATATTGTTTTTGAAGTATTTCTTAAACTAATTGTTATTTATTTTACATTTATAGTTTTCATTAAATAATTTAAAAAGTATACGTTATTGTAAATACCTACGATTAGGGCTCAGTGATATAAAATAATGTCTTCTATATGCCCCAGCTGTATTTTTATTTATATACTTTGAAATTGTAAATGTTAAACGGCGAAATAAACAAATAAACCTTAAATGTTATGTTATATAGTAAATAAGTTTTAGTATGTGACCAAGTTGCCATAAGTCACATTTTAGACGTCTATAAAACCTATTAAAACATTTTTCAGATGTCCCCACAATTTAGTAAGGAAATCTATTAAACTTCAAATAAGTAGTATGGAAGTTTTGTGTTTTATCTATTAATCAATCTTTGCGGAAACCTAACGTTCTATGAACAGAGCACCATCATTTGTAATTTATCGTTGGGAATAGCATTTAATAAAGCGGTTTCCTGTTTTCATTCTTACACTTTAAAATGTTTTAACAACTGTTTAGTTTTTGTTTTTTTTAGTTTATTTCGTAATCAGGCGCTTCAAATTGATCTTTTAATTTTTTTTTATAAGTATATAGCCAGATTTTTTATCTTGCATTATTTGATTTAAAAGATCCAATTTGTTTTAATTTATTTAAGCAATAAATAATTTATGAATTTTGTTATTTCTTCACTCTTTTTATTAGTTTGAAAAAGATTTTTATCGAGTTAGTAGCACAAATTTTATTTGTTTTATATTTTTTCTCACATTTTATGGTTTGTATGCATACTTAGTTGTATCTAGCTGTCAACAATTAATTATATTCTTCAATAAGTATACGCAGCAATAAAACATTATTTTTTTTATTATTATTTGAACAACGTTTAATCCAACTAGAGCATCCAAAAAGGCTTAAAAAAAAAAATTTCGTTACGCCGTATTATATTTTATTTAAATACAGCTTCAACACGTCAACAAATAAAGATTTTTAACCTTAAATATGCATCACTTATAATCTAGATATCGTTGTTAACATAGTGACAAAAGTTTATTTTGTTATATTTTATATTTTTGTAATTTATAGCTATTACATATTTCATAAAGCTACCGTTATCTTTTTTTCTTAAACTGTTTCATGTTTGAACGACATATCGCTCGTAAATAAATGTTTATTTTTATTTAATTATAATTAGGCAGTCGCGGCAGCCATGTTGGATAATCGGCTAAAATTAGTCGTCATAAAAAGTTGGATGCATTTTTCGCGTTTTTGTGGCTTGCACTTAGGACGCTGGAGAATTAAATTAAAATAAGTATTTAGATGACTTACTATATAGAAATTTTTTTATTTAAATTGAGAACGAAAGCCAGAAAACTTTTATTACCAGCTTTTAAAAAATTTTGACAGTTATTTTTACGGTTTACAGAGCAGAAATAAACAGGTAAGTTTCATAAGCACAATACTTATATTTACAATAAAAGAAATTTTTCATATATAAAAAGAATTTTGCAACATTTATCCAATAACATAAAAAACATAATCTCATCAAGTTAGATTAAGTAGCAGTAATAAAATTTTATTACGCCAATATTTCACCTCGAGATTGCGCATATACGTTGGTCGATCTTTTGTTTTTGATAGTTTCTAACCTTTTAAAATTACTTTCTAACGCGTCAGAATCTTGCGGTTAGAATCTAACGCTATCAACAATTCCCTACAGGTCTGTCAAATTATTAAAAAAATGCTGCTAAAAAGAAATATGAACAAAATCGTGATTTATGTAAATAAAGATCAATATAATAAACATTTTTTTATTATATAATTTGTTATAGATTTTACGTAACTTTAAAACTGTAAATAAAGACCCACTTTTTAAAACGTTTTTTTTCTATATGATATAGTAGAAAAACATATTAAAAAGTGGATTTTTATTCGCAGTTTAAAAAATAAGTAAAATATATAACATGTGATATAATAATAATTGTTTATTATGTTAATATTTAGACTATATTCCCAATTTATTTTATGTATTCCACAAGATTATAGAGTATATTCTTTGTAAAGACGCCATTATTATTTTGATCACTCAAATTACTATAACTTTGCTTCTAATTGCGCTAGAAACATAAAGTTGGTATCAATGATAACCTCTTTCATCTAAACATGTTTTGAAGTCAAAATATTTAGTTTAAATTTTTTATGCAACTGCCTAGTTATAATATAAAATTAATATGAAACTTTGTTGCTTAAAGCATTTTTTAAAGTATTGATTAATAATTATAAAGAAAATAAAGAAGATATGGAACTAACTTTTCAAACAACAAATCTTGCATTTTAAAACAATTCTAGAAAAAAACGTTATCAAAAATGATAAATATAAAAAAAGTAATAAAAATAAAAAAAATGCAATATCTTCAAAAACAAACATTTAACTAGTATTAAAAATATCTTTATTTGCAAGCTACACAACCTTTTTGTATCATTGTAAAATTATTGCAAACTTTAGTTAATATTTAGTTCATCCAAATGGGTTCAAATTTGCTAATCAGGCTAGCCCAGGAATAATATATATATATATATATATATATATATATATATATATATATATATATATATATATATATATATATATATATATATATATATATATATATATATATATATATATATATATATATATATATATATATATATATATATATATATATATATATATATATATATATATATATATATATATATATATATATATATATATATATATATATATATATATATATATATATATATATATTTTTTTTTTTTATCTATGCAAGCTGTTTGAGCTAGCGCCATATTTTATTGAAATTAAAGCAGCCTTAAATAACATAAATACCCTAAATACCAACACCAGCATCGCGTACCTTGTAAACTTAATACAAATTAATTACTTTTGTATTTTAATCTTTTAATCATGGCTTTGTTTTTTCTTTTTTTATTACTTTAAAGTTACTTCCGTCACTGAAAATTACTATTTTACCAACGAACTCTCTTCTTTCAATATCCTAACTCTCTTCTTAAAATATCCAAAATCTCTCCTTACAATATCAAAACGCTCTTCTTACAATATCCTAACTCTCTCCAAACAATATCCTCATCTTGTGAGGCCATCGCTAGCCATCAGCATACGTTTTCTAACAACTACATATACACCAATGTTTTCCCTGATTAAAATGTTTCTAACAATATTTAAAGGAAAACATTTTAAACATTTTTTGTTGAATGTGTTGGTAAGTTCACGATAACTAAAAGGTTGGATTGGCTTTACATGACCAAATAAAAGACTGTTTTGCGTTCCGTAGCTTTTTGAAACCCTCCGCGTCCAGCATTAGATTGGATGCAGCCAGTCATTTTAAATGTTTTCAGAGTATTTATGAAACAATTCTTTTAGATTGGTTTTTTTCTTACTACTTCTCTGTTACTGACCATGAAGCCATCCTTCATACCTACTTTTTGCCGCTTTGTTACTTTGCTTATTGCTTTCAATCCATTTCAATGTACCTTAACCTTTAAAACTCATCTTTTAGACATCATTAAAGTATTTAAAAAGACTTTAAATGTTTAGTTTTTACTTAAATGGTCATTATAAGCAATTTTATGCAACCTTTTGTTGGACATTAACAAACTAACATTAAAAAAATTAAAAAAATTAAGAATACCAGTAGGTTATTTGATAAGAAAGTAAAACGCAATAACTGGTTAAAAAGTTATATGCAACAAATAACAAACTTACAATTAGTTTTCACGCGTACTGTTATCACTTTATGCCGCTACATCATGTTTTAGTTTTTCACGCGTATCGTTATCATGTTATTGTTATCGTTATACCTCTACATTGTGTTCTTGTTAAACTTATATATTAATGTACTATTTCTATAAATTAATTGCATAAATAATAATGGTTTGAAACGTTTAACTTATCGTTTTATAAATACTATATTTTTATACATTCAATTAGCAACAACATGTCTAGATGTGGAATACAAAAATGAAAGGTTTCGCAAATAAAGAGAAAACATAGCAGTACGTATCATCTGCTACTTTTTATTAATAGATACTTTAGGTCCACTAAAAAATACTTTTATACTATCAATCAGTTACATTAAACAACATATGCAGAAAATTCAATAACAGACTATTTAAAATAGTTATTACTGCGTCATCAAAAAGTATTAGCAATTGAAAAAGAATACCAGAAATAATTAAAATGAGCATTATAACTTTTTTTCTCTATTGACTCATTATTCTACGGTTTTGGTAATTTGAGGTCACAAATTTAGACTTTTACCAGAAATAAAATTAAATTTGTATGAATTTGACCTAATTGAATTTGAATTTAGCCACAAGATCACGCTCTGGAGTGCACAAACTTAGACAAATCAAAAAATCATTAACGAATAATTTACAACATCAAAAATTTGGTTAGGATCATTTCCAATTTTTTTATTCAGTGGTCTTTATTAATAGGCAACAGACTTCAGATAAGATGGCATTTACTCCCTAAACAAAAACCTCAACTTAGATAATGTTCTCTTAGATTGTAGATAATTTTTATTTAATTATTATTATTCGCTGCAGTCCTGTTTATAAAAATAAATTTTCATGACGATTATATTTGATAACTTCTATTTATCGGTTATTAGTAATAAACGTCACAAAGGTTTACAAGAAAGCTTTCAACAAACGAGTTGAAAAATTAAATTATTAAACAATGCATCATAACAACAAGACTATCAAAAAATAAGTAAACAAGACTATCAAAACATAAGTAAGCAAGACTATCAAAAAAATTGCAGCTGTTTGGACAAAAATGGGTGTAAAAGTCTTTAAGTAGCAGATTTTTTGAAAGGTTCGCTTTACGTTTTTCTCAACGTTTAAGATCTTCCAACAAATTGCTAAAAATACAATTTTAATCTAATAGTTGTTATATCCATATAGAAATTTTTGTCAACATAATGTTTTTAAGCTAACATATTTTTGAGTCAACATTATTATTTACGACTGGAACTTTGGATTTGCCCTTTAAATGGCATTTAAACTTTTTTTTTTTGACATTCAATTAATTTTTATTAATAAACTTTTTTTTTTTTTTTTATCAATGAAAATTTATATTTCTCTTCAGGCAATCTATATATAAATACATTTTTATCGTGAAATATATATCAGTATATATAAATATGAAATAAAGTATATGAACTTATATAACGTTTATATTAGTTTCAAATCCGACTAATATAAATATGTTAACAAATTTTTTTTATCTTAAGAAATTTATTAAACAGCATTTGGTATTATAATTATTTACAGCTTTTGGTATTATATTTATTATGATCGTGTTTTTATAAAGAAATCAGATTTTTTTTAATACCTAAAGAAAGGAAATCAAAGTACCAAAGGCTTCACGATAGGGTAGAAAAAGTCCAGAGAGACACCAAGTCTATAATAGGATTAAGCGCCCTACGTGACACCCCTAACAAGACTCAGCCCTTTTTGGTATAGCTCAAAAAAAATTTATTTTTAGATTCCCTAATAAAATAAAATTTTTATATTTAAATGATTTTTGAGCATTTTAATACTTAAACTTGTAAAATATATGTGAAAGTGAAATATCAAGTAGAAGCGGCAATAGCAAGTGCCAATTGCGTGTTAAGTTATCTCAAAAAGCTTTTAAAAACAGAGACCTTTCCTTGTGGAAAGCCTTGTACATCATATATGTTAGACCATATATTCAGCTATTCAAGCCTGGTCTCCACATCTACAACGAGATAAATGTACGCTAGAGTGTATTCAAAAAGAGTAATAAAAACAATAATAGAAATCAAGCAAATATTATATGAGGAGAGTATAATTGGGCTCGCACCTCTTAAAGAAGAAACCAAGTTGATTTGATTCAGCAATTTAAAACTGTTCATGGTATTGAAAAATTAAAATTTGCTGTCTCACAAGTGTATGCGTCATCAATATTAAATTACTGCCTACGAGGGTACAACCAACGATTAACTAAGCAAGTTTTCAATCAAAAATTACGAAGAGAAGAAGTATTTCTTCACTAACCGCGTAGTAAATGCATGGAACACACTTTCATCAAATGCAACCTGCGCAGTCTTGAATAATGCCTTCAAAGATCACATTGATGGAAAAAGAACATAAAATGGATAAAGCGCGTATCTTTATGCTGTCAAATAGTAGGGCCTGGTGTCGCACTACTTCATTAGAATTTTTAAAATTTATTAATTGTGATAAATATTTAATATAAATTTCTAATTTCTGAATAAACAATTTCAAGTTCAAATTCATTTACTCAAAGCAATAAGTCTGATAGAAGCTGAAACCCCATTTTTCGATCATGCAAAAATTTTAACCGTAATTAAAACCAAAAGTAAACTTTTTCTTTAAGCTAGCTTTTTTGCTTAGCTAGCTTTATTGTAAAACACTTCAGTAAAAAACACCCCATCTTGTTTTGTTGATCAGCAACTGTTATTTGAAAGTGTTGAAGCCAAATTGTTGTTTGTAAAAGCACTTCGATTTAGTGGTACAAAGGAGTCTTTTCGAAAAAGATTTAGCCCGCAAAGATCCCTTTTTAAGTAACTCGGGTATTTGATAAGTTAGTACAACTTTTTCAGAATAATTTTTTATATTTAACCTCTTGTGTATGATAAGCCATTAAATTCTTTCTAAATCCTAAAATATATAGCTACAATGTGGTGTATACAATACGGCAATATTAATGAACAATTAGGCAACATTGCATTGCTGTAGCGTTTAATAGTTCAGACTTTGCGCAAGCTCGCGTAAAGACAAAAAAAAAACGGAAAAATATTACATAATGCACTCATACAGATTTACACTATAACCAACTGCCCACACTCAGCTGATGTCAGGTATATAACCTGTTTTTTTCTACAAACCTTAGGCACTTTTGATTGCTTAATTAGAAGGTCTATTATGTCTATTATGTTATATAATTTATCCATTTTTGCGAAGAGTCTACATTTTTGCTGAAAAAGTTGGCTCTGGTATTCTCGCAGACAATTCTGGGTTTCAAATTAAAAACCCACTAAGTCGATCAACACCAGCTTGTACATATTCTAAAATAGTTGTTAAATAGACATTGTTAAGTTAAGAAAACCGGATGTATCTCTGAGTCGAACTTTAAGTGTTAACCAAAAATGCATTACCTCCATGTGTCTGATATGAGTCACCAGCTCATTCTACATTTTAACAAAAAACAAAATTTTTAAGTGACTACATCAATGCTCTCAGCAAACTCGTGTTTAAAACAGTCTTATTTATATGTTTTATTTAATGGACTTATCTTCGAATGACGTCTAAAAAATGTTTGATGGAGACTTTCTTTGAAATAATTTTTTTCTGCTAATCTAAGGCCACTTAAATGTGTTTTAAAGACGTCTATATCGTCGTGAATAATTTTACGTCTTTGTAAAACGTCTTTATTACGTCAATTTAGTCTACGACTTATTAAGTACTTTTTAATAAGTCTACTTTTATTCGTCTTTAAAATAACTGTTTTAGCGTGAAAATTTTATGTACCTTCATAAGACTTTGTTTTTCATGATAAACTTTTACTTTGACCATTCTTTATTTTCTAAACCACTATTCTAACAAAAGGTTTTATTTAGATATTGTGGATACTAAAAAACGAATGAAACGTCGTCGCTTGAATAAAAATACATTGGATTTATTTTTTTAATATCAATTCTTTGATTTAAGTCTTAAACTTTAAACTTCTACTGAAATCAAAGTTGCATTGTTTCCTCTGCCTTCTTTAAAAATATAATCTACTTAACTTTTTTATTATAATTTTTTTTATTACTATTTGGTGTTTCAGACATAGGATGGGAGTTTTTACTTGAAGTTATGAGAATTTTAAATGTTATAATTAGGGTGGCCAGATACCTTTATTCTCAAGCTAGAAAAATTGAATATAATTTTTAAAATAACATTTGTTACTATAATAAAACAACAAACTCATTCGTTATTGTTTTTTTATCGTTATTATCGTATTTTGTTGTTATTATCGTTATTGTTAAACGATATTTGATTCAGCAGGTTTATCGTCACTTAAAATCTTTTTATGCACTTCCTCACACAATGAAGATTATTTATTCGTTGAATTCATTATTTCAATTTGTGAAATGCCTGCTTCAACTTAATTTATCAAGTTGAAACAGGCGTTTCACGGTTTCAACATTCAATCAATTTCAATCATCTGTACACTACTTTTAGCACAAAGAAAATTCACCTTCTACAGCCACTTTGATGTAATTTATTTGATGATGATTCAAACAAGTCACGGTAAATAGAGTTTTCAAAACAACTAATCTTTTGCTTTTAATCTTTATCAAACAATAAACTTAAACTTATCAAACAACGATTTTTTCAGGGCAATATATATATATATATATATATATATATATATATATATATATATATATATATATATATATATATATATATATATATATATATATATATATATATATATATATATAAATATATATATATATATATATATATAAATATATATATATATATATATATATATATATATATATTTGATTCATAAATTTTAAGTATATATATATATATATAAGAATACCGAATTACATTAGTCATACCGATTCATAAATTTTAAGTATATATATATATATATATTAGAATACCGAATTACATTAGTCAATATTGTAAACCTTTAATCGACCTTAATTAAACGAAAACATTTATAGATTTAAATCTACACTTTAAATCTTTTAATATATACGTTTATTAAACGTCGATCAAACGTTTACAATATTGACTAATATAATTTGTTATTCTAAACGTTTGATTGACGTTCAATAAACGTTTATTATATTATGATTTAGTAATATAGCCATTGGTCAGAAGATT